ATATTGGAAAAAAAAATCGAAATTAAAAAGTATAAGATCACTAACCTGGAATGGGTACATCATATGCAATAGCTTGAACGATTTCAGTACCTTCCCAAACGTGTCGTACGCGTTCTTGTTCATCAGTATAACGACTTACGGAACCGCAGAATTTAACATCAATGACAATATCGAGACGAGGAATTTCCCATGGATTATCAAAGTTAAGCCAATAATCCGGAAATTCGACTTGATAGCCGTCCTTTAACCTGTGTAATCACCGGGACAAAAACAAATTAAACTCGAAAATTTACAAATATAAAATATAATTACACAATACCTTTGTTGAAAGATACCGTAAGTGTATCTAAGACCATAACCCCAAGCAGGATAATCCAAAGTAGCTAGGGAATCCATATAGCAAGCGGCAAGACGTCCTAGACCACCATTACCGAGTGCAGCGTCGACTTCTTGATCGAGGATATCTTCCATCCTGAAACCTAATTCCTTGACACCCTCTGAGAGAAGGGTAAAATACGTGTAAATGACTGATGTCACGTTATACACGTACGTTAATCATATACACAGCATACCTCCACAACTTTCTTTTAATCCTAAATTGAGAAGAGCATTATCTAAAGATCTTCCTAACAAGAATTCCAAAGATAAGTAATATACACGTTTAGGATCAACTTCAGTATGGGTCTAAATTTAATTATCAATTTTAATCATGAAAATAAAATTAATGGTTGATTTATAATTTGAGCGATCAAAAGTAATTACGCGAGATACGTTAAATCGCATCGATGAATGTAACACGAGCAAAAATTGATTTAATTTAACTGATCAGATTAAATTTGTGCACTTGATGAAAGACTTGTTTAAAAAGATCATTCTAACCTGTTGTGTATCATTCCATCTTTGAATTAATCTATCTCGAACGCTATAAACACATTTATAAACCTGTTAAATTCTTATTAAAGAGTTTATAAATAAAAAAATTACAAAGTATTTTTTTTATAACTTACGTATGAGCAGTTGCTTGATATGCACTAAAATTGTCGATATTGAACATTGATCTAGCAAGCGTTGTAGTTACGTGTCGAATAAATGATTTTTGAATAGCTTCCTTATCTGTCACGAGAAAAAGGGCACCACTTTCAATCATACAAATTATCAAATAATTAATTCATCAGATCAAATACAAACCATCGGACTCTCCAACGCCATACTTTTCCCACAAAGCTAAAGTTTCTTTTGACCATTTAGCTTGTTCTTTCTTGATGATATGTTTCGCGTATCCAGTGAAGGTACGTTTATGGTGCTTTGGGGGATTAACAACTTCAGCAGACATAACTTGTGATTTGATATATACGATTCAAAGGATAAAGGAAACAATTAATTAAAAAAATCGAAAAGGCTTTTTACGAATGGGAATTTGGGAAAAGGTAAGAATCTATTGAAATATATAGGAAAATATTGAATTTTATAAGCCAATCAGATTTCAAGATAAGACACAAGGTTAGAATCTATAATGTACTTATGTTGCACGAATGAAGTTCACGATTTATTTAGGGATTTTGGCTTGCTGTATTTTTTTTAAAAAAAACAGATAATAATGCATTTACGCAATGATGTGCGTATCAAAGGAAAAATCACAATGTTGATCTCACAAAATAAATATCAAATTGATATCATCATAGTGTCAGAGACGATATTATCAAGTTAGCAGTAGTTTTAGCGCCATCAACTCGTCAATCATTGACAATCGATCATCCAAAAAAATATAATATGGTGATTTAAAAAATTGATTCTTAACCGTGTAACATGCATTTTACAAACAACCAATAAAATAGCAATTTAGCCATCAAGTTTATTCCGTCTCGATAAGATGATCGAGCAAGCCTTATATTTTGTTATTTTCGTTCTATAATCACATGAAATTCTGATATTCGGTCACTTTGTGTGCTATAAAAAGTTACCTATAAAACGATTCGATGAATTAATATCAGATGATAGCCATTTAGCCATTTAACCATTTAAGTCAATAGTTTATAAACAATCTTATGTAGTGAAATAAATAATTTTTTTTTTTTTTTTTATACATTGACCAGATTAAATTTGGATACCCTAATTTTACTGATTAACTACTTTTAGCAAATTACTTGTAATTTCAATTACAGTAATCGAAAAAATATTTTTT